CTGGAGGAGCACAGCAGACCAGGCAGCATCAGAGGAGCAGGAAAGCTAACGTTTCAAGTTGGACCCTTTTTCCCGACCCGAAACGTCAGCTTTCCTGCTCCTCTGATGCTGCCTGGCCTGCTGTGTTCCTCCAGCTCCACGCTGTGTTATCTCTGACTCCAGCATCGGCAGCTCTTACTATCTCTGTGTTTGTTAAGGTGTATACTTCAATTTTTTTGCATAATAGTTTATGGATTTCTACAAACCAGTGTCTTTGCTATTGCATTAGTAATTTGAGGGCAAGTCATGGATTTGTGCTTATTTTTTGTTTTTGTCCCTCTTTAGGAAGTTGACCTGACTGATTTGATTGATAGATTTTTAGTCATCACAAACAAAAACAAAATTGTTTTCTATAAACTGTTAAGAGATCACTTCTGTAATCAAAATCTTAAGTCTTGAGTCACTGAAGTGAATGTTTTCTGACCAGATTTTTTTCTGGAGTATCTGTTGCTGATATAGATTTGCTTATATCCAGGATTTCAAAGCAGAAAACGTGGTGTGAAATTCTCTTTTGCTGGTCTGAAACTGGCAGGATAAAATGCCCAGCAAATCTCTCCTAGATTTATCTGATTTTACCACAGTTGGAGCAGTGAGATAACCAACTTGTTTTTATCTTCCTCATTTTGAAGTATTTGCCTGAGTTTATTGTGGGTTTTATTGCTACCATTTTAACATAATAACACCATTTCGGAAGAGCCGTCAAGTGGTGCCAGTACATGCAAAAAAATGAAGTCTTTTTTCATATAATTTGGGCAGTTTTCTAACTCCATCTGTGATCATTTAGTAAACTTCTTTTCTCTTTCTAGCTGGGTCCTGGCTCCTATATTGCTGGGAAGAACTTCACAATGGCAGATGTAATGCTTTTCCCACAAGTAGCCTTTGCTGTTCGCTTTGGGTATGTTGCTACTATTAATCAGTGTTTAGTTGCATGCCAATTGTCACACTTCTCTCATTTTTAAAACAAATTAAAGAATTGACAGTGTACAGGTCATTCAACCCATGGTACTTTTATTCCATTTTGTAGTTTCTCTTTAATTGAGCAGTGAAATCCTCTGCTTCAAGTGTACCCAGCTTTCCCCTTTTTAAATTCATCTTTACTACATGTCTCAAATATTGTGGAAGTCCATATTGTGGAAGTGAGTTCCAAAGCCTAAAGGAGCAGGGGAAAATGTTAGTTCTGAATTTCCATTTTTTTTGCTATTGTACCGGTCTTGGATTGATGGCTTCACGTTCTGCATTACCAAGTGAAAGGTGTCTTGTCTTTTGAAAATGATGACTTTGATCACATATGAACTCCCTCCACTTGACAAGTAATCAAGCTTGTTTATTCTTGTACTTCTGGTGTTCTGGCAAATCTTTAATGCATATAAGCAGTAACTTTCTATAGTATGTCACAATGTTCCCAAGTGAGGTGCGAGTGTTTCTACTGTTTGCATCCCTCTAGGAATAGAGCTAGCTGTTTTGTTTGTTTTTTGCTTTCCTTTTTCTTTATGACCTCTTATTGACACTGCAGTGTTTGGTCTGTGCACTATATTTCAATTCCTTGCTCCCCTACCTTGTGTGGATTTTTAAGTAACACCTTAGATTCACCAAATATAACTTGTAATTGGATAATGCTTTCCGGTATAACTGTTAGGCAAGCTTAATTTTGTTGTAACTGGGAATTTTGCTATCCACTGAACATCTGCATCTGGGGAGGCGATGGCCTAGTTGTCTTATCGCTGGACTGTTAATCCAGAGACCCAGATAATGTTCTGGGGACCTAGGTTCGAATCCTGCCATGGCAGATGGTAGAATTTGAATTCAATAAATATCTGGAGTTAACAATCTAATGATGACCATGAATCCATTGTCAATTGTCGGAAAAACCCATCTGGTTCACTAATGTCCTTTAGGGAAGGAAATTGCCATCCTTACCTGGTCTGGTCTACATGTGACTCCACACCCACAGCAATGTGGTTGACTCTTAACTGCCCTCTGGGCAATTGGGGATGGGCAATAAATGCTGCCTGGCCAGCGACGCCCTTGTCTCGTGAATGAATAAAAAAAAAAAAAATTTCTATATACTCTGTCCACTGACTCTACATGCACTATCCTTGTTCATTAGTATGTGATACCTTTTATGCTGAAATACAATATCTAAATTTTGAAATTCCTACAATTATCTATTTTTGCTCAACTAACTTCACTGAAGGTAGGTTTCCTTCCTTATGAAAATGGAAAGGCAATATATGTTCTCCACTTTCTTCCACCAATTAACCTGCGGAGCCTGGATGTTTTGTTCAAGTGTTCATGAGATCCTTTTTTGGCAGGGGTGGGGTGCTTTTTTTTTTTCTAGTGAATTGTTATTTGGTGAAATAGTATTTTATTACCCCCTGGATTGTTCCAGAAAATGCAGATGCAATCAATCCAGTCAAGGGACTTTGGATTGGACTTATTTCTTAACTTCCTTCACGTGGTTAAACGTGGCTGACATCCAGTTTTTGATCTTTCTCCACTAAATATTTAAGCAACGTAATTGCTTTAATCATTATTTGATTGTTTACTTTATGCCTGTAGCATACCTTGTTCCTTTTTTTAAAAAAAAGTAGTAGTTCATAAGTGTTTGATTTCTAATCAGATCTCCCTTGTCTTGACTATAAGCTTGATGCGTATCCCATTCTTTACTATCTATGATGTCACAACAGTTTAATTTGTTTCCTCTAAGTATTGTAAATCTTTCCCAGAGCCAAAAAGTGTTAATTTTTCTCAACCTTGGTCTCACCCAACTTTTTTTTTAGCTTTGCTTTTTTTTTTGGCTTTTTATTTCCTTCTCCATTTAGTGTCTTTAATACTTGTAAAGTTATGGTTGCTACTGCTTATTGCCCTCTGAGAAGAGAGGTTGGCCTAGTGGTATTGTCATAAGACAATTAATCTAGAGGCACAGGTAGTATTCTACGGGATCCTACTTCAAATCCCATTGTGGCAGATGAAGTTTTGAGTTCAATGAAAATCTGAAATTGAGTCTAATGACTGTCAATTGTCAAAAGAAAAACCTATCTGGTTCACTAATGCCCCTTCTAGGGAAGGAAACTGCTGTCCTTAACTGGTCTGGCCTACATGTGACTCTAGACCCATAGCAATGTGGTTGATTCCTATTAACTGCCCTCTGGACAATAGGGGATAGGTAATAAATGCTGGCCTAGCCAATGATACCACCGACATCCCATGAATGAAAAATATTCCCTAAGTTTACTTGTGCTCTGTTTTTTTTCCTGTTAACAGATCAATAGTAAATGTACTGTGGCTCTAAGCTATTGCAAGAAAATTCCTTATTTCCCCCTCTTCCTATTTCCTTCAGACTGACTCTCTGGCATCCTTAAGTGTTCTACTTTTTTTTAGTATAAATTGTGCTTACAAATCTTAAAGGGATTTGATTTGAAATGCATTAAGTGCCAATGTTTATATGGAAATAGTGAAATTCGCTGAACTCTACTTTCCACTTCCGCAGGAGGCAGTGGATTGGTACTGATCTAATGATCCAGGTGCTCGGGCTTGTACTCCCAGGGAATACATGTTCACATCCCACCATAGCAGTTTTTTGAATTGGAATTCCTATAGGTTATTTTTTTATTTAACATATTTTTCTAATCGGTCATAGCAGGTTTTCTAACCTGAATAGTCCCATTGGCCTGATTTTGGCCCATATACCTCTAAACCTTTTCTATCCATGTACCTGTCCAAATAACCTGTTGAGATGTTTTTTACAGACTTCTGGAGCAGGTGGGACTGGAACCTGGGCTTCCCAGTTCCAGGGCTAGGGACACTACCACTACACCACAATAAGGCTCCTTTGAATTTGCTTAGTTGAGCTTGGATTTGAGAGCTAGTCTTCAATGGTGGCCATGAAACTGTTGTGGAGACCCATCTGGTTCCTTCTGGTCTGTCTTGCGTGACTCCAAATTCAGATGTGCAGTTAACTCTTGATTGCACTGAAGTGACCTTGCAAACCAGCCACAGTCACATAAGAATTTAAAACAAAAACTCAACAGAAAAATATTATGGAGGTTGATTTTAATCCAAACTTGTCTTCTCCTACCTATAATGGCTGTCTACAAGATGGTACTATTCCTTTTTAGTTGCTCTCCAGTTGAGGGGAGGGGCTGGTGGAAAAGAGAAGTTGAGGCTGTGCCATGAATGCTAATGATTTAATTTTGTTTTTAGATTATCAACAGACAAATATCCCAAACTGATGGAATACTACATGAAAGTGAAAGAGCGACCAAGCATTCAGGCTTCCTGGCCTCCCCATTGGAAGGAGAGTCCTCCAACCTTGGATGTTTTGAAAGATGTCTGAGTTTTGTAGAATTCTGAATTCCACACTCCTAAATCCCATATGCAGTTTGTTGGCCTTGGGATTTTAGTATCAAATATTGAAAGTACTGCATAAAGATGAGCTTATCACACTGAAATCTGTTGCATTAAAACTTAATAAAATTACAGTGACAAATGTTTGAGTGCATCCATGTGCGTTATAACAACCTATAGTATTTTGGCCACATTAATGATTTGAATATTTGTTTGGCATTGGTCCCTACTGGAAAGGGTGGCATTTCGTTCCACCTCAAGGTCCTGTCAAACCTCCTCTGAACCACCTTTAGTCTGTGCATGTGCTGTTTTTAACCCAGCCCTAATGAAGAAAAAGCAATTGATTGCAAATTTAGGATGGTGTGACTGGGAAGCATAGTAAGTAGTGTTCACCTGTGCTTGCAAAATGAGGTTATGCACACTGGCAGGAAGAATATTATTGTTTAGTTGGAGAAAGTTGCAGTGTAGCAGTTGGGATTATTTGTGTTTGAATCACAAATCTAGCGTATAGGTTCATCAGTCAAAAAGGAAAGCAAATGGAATGTTGACCTTCATTTTCAAAGGGAATGGAGTATTTAAAAAAACAGTCTTTGTAAAACACTATAGCACTATACAAGGCACCGATTAGACTACACCTAGAACGTTGTGAACGGTTTTAGTTCCCTAAGGAAAGGTATGCAATTGGTGGCGTGCTGGAGAAAGTTCACTGGGTTGGATCCCATGTATGAGCAGAAGTTGAATATGTTGGGGCTATACTTATTTCTGAGTTTCAGAGGTTGATGAAGCTGTGGAATTCTTTACTGCAACCAGCTGTAGGGGCTGGGCCATTATGTGTGTTCAAGGGTGAGATAGAAAGGTTTTTAATCCAATAAGGGAATCCACGTTTATGGGGAAAAGGCAAGAAAGTGGTGTTGAGGATTCTTAGATAGGCCATTACCTCAGTGGCAGAGCATACTTGATGGGCTGAATGGCCTACTTCTTCTCCATGGCCCAATCTTGTGCTGTTATAATAAAGTCCAGCCCAAATCAAAATTGGAGGAGGTGGAGGCATTCTATTGTCTCATCTTGGCAGGGGGGAAATAGCAAAACAAAAGAGGCCAAAGGAAAATGGGAAATTGCCCATGGGAAGCAAATGTGACAGCTAATCACCTGAAGTGCATACGCTGCTGTCACAGGAGGTTCTCTGGATTCTGATGGTGTAAAGGAGGATACTGTGGATGTATCCAGAGTTAATTCCAGAAACAAACAAAAAAATTTCTGAGCACATCTATGTTGAATTTGAAAGGCTGACAAAATTTTGATTTTGGGGGTGGGGGGAGAGGTACCAGGCTTAGGAGGAAATGCCATTTGTGAAGTTCTCAGTGAAATCATTGTCCTGCAGGAATTTCAAAGCTCACTACATTTGTAATAAGAACCACCTTGAAGATCAGAGGATTACGACTGCACGATAGGCAACTGTAATGATTTTATTTATTTATTTGTCACGTTATTTTGTGACAAAATACAGTGAAATGTTGTATGGTGTCACCACTCTCTGGTGCCATCTTGAAACACCGTAAAATAAACCTAAAAAATAGAGTATAAAGGTAGGAAATTGTAAAGTGTTCAACTTGTTCAGTGCTCCACCTTGGGCCTGGTTGGCAGGCACCAATTCCCTTCTGCGCCACTGCTCTTAGGTGCCATCTCACCTCCACTGATGCCCTCGCCCGAGTCCTTGTTGGACACATTATACCCCTATTTTCTGAAAAATCTATACTGAGATGCCAACAAGCATAGGCTTCTTATTTACCCATCTATGTGCAGATCAAAGAGAAAACTTAACAAGGTCTTGCGCTACGTTGAAAGGCAGAGGCAAACCAGGTTGCGCCAAAATAATTGGCTGTGGGAGAGGCCACTTCCCTTAGGCTAGGCCCAGAAAAGCTGGCCCATGTTCTGGAGGACATTAACGACATGCTGGATCACCAACTAATAAACCCCCCCCCAGTAGCTCTACCTGCAGATTCCCAGCTTTGCTTGCGTCAGGCTGAAGGCCTCCTCTAAGTTCTGCATTGACTATTGAAAAGCTATTGCAGCAACAAAAGCCAACTCCTAGCTGATACCCCAGTTGGAAGTTTGAATGGATAGGGTAAGTATAGCAACGTACATTGTCAAGAGGTGCTGGCAGGTTCCCTTGCTAACCCCCATGAAAGAAAGCTCTGCCTTCATTAACTCTTGGATGTGTTATACCTGCGTCTAATCTGAACTCTGAAATGGCCCAGACACCTTTCACTTTAAAAAGAAAATGTTGAATCAAATAGTGACAAGTTTATCTCTTTGTGGCGTTTACTTAAATGCCCTGCTGATGCACACTGACACCTGAGAGACAGTCAGCTGACCTAATGGGCAATCTTGCAAACAGCGAGCTCACTCAGCTCCAAGTGACTTGTCAAGGACATGTAGTGAAACAGGGACGAATACTGCTCAGGTCTGCAAAGGTAGAAGCTGCAGCAGCATAGTCCTCCATTCCCACAACAAAGCAGGAAACCAATGGGGTTTGGTAATGAGTGAGAGTGCTAATGACCATTCGTTACAAACCTTGGCACTGACAGACCTATAGGAAAAAAGTAAATAAAATTAGTATGAGCTGAGATACCAAATTGCTTTTAGAAAGCTGAGGTTATTTTAACAAGTGAAACCTTGCTTGAAGCTGCAAACTTGAAGTGAGCATTTAAAGTAGAAATTGATGTGTGTGCCATTGGGGTAGGGGAAGTTCTCTTTCAGGAAGATGAATACAGAATAGAGTCTAATCGGGTACTTGTAAACAAGTAACAGAGATGGTAATCTACAACGGAGAAGGAAACTCTTGGTTCGTAATTGGATTTCAAATATTTTGAGATATATGTCCAAAATGGATACAGAGAGACTGCAGTCTATACTGAACACAAGGTGTTACATTTTGTGAAGAAGTTTAACACTCCAGAATTCTAGGTTATTCAACTGGGGAAACTATCATTAAATTCCTCACGAGACCAAGGAAATTAGTTGAACACTGGATGGAATGCTCTTTAAAGGATTGGTGTGGACTCAATGGGTTGAATGGCCTGCTTCCACACTAGGAGATTCTATGAAAGCTGACTAGAGGCCACATCTTTTCTAAATTGAACATGAGCCATGCTTACCTCCAGTTGGAAGCTAATGGGTTATCCAGGAAGTATATTACTATAAATACTTACAAAAGTATGTGAGTACACTCACCGGCCCTTTGGGGTATTTTATGCCACCTTTCAATGGGCAATGGAGAACATCTTCCAAGGTGCCTAGAGTGGCAGACTATCTGGATGATGTTTTAATTTCAGGAGCTACTGCAAGGAATGTGTGGAGAAATTGAAGGAGGTTTTATGGTCTATTTCTGAGGCTGGCAGCTGGCTAAAAAGGGAAAGATTTGTGTTCCAGGTAAATGAGAGAATGTACAGAATTGACATGGACAAATTATACACTGTCAAAGAGAAGGTGAAAGCCATAAAAGGGAGGTTGGGGGGGTGGGACTCTGGTTGAAAGGAATTGAAATGTTTCATAAGTTTCACAAATTACTAAGGGAAGAAATAGTCCATATTTATGACAATGACACCTCTCCAGGGATCCTGGGAGTTATCCTTAAAAAGAAAAGGACTAATGATGTACATGGTCAAAACTGGGGAGAAGATTGTAAACAAAAAAACATGTTGACTCACCTCTTCAGCAGGATCTCTCTACAGAGGTGATTATTTCGACAAACACGCCACGGGGGACAAACCCACTCAACTGGCTCTTTGATGGTCTTTCCCCGAAGAGACATTCGCCCTACTTATTATACACCTCTCAACCAGAGCTGGAAAACAAAACAAATGGAGCCATGGGTAAAACGACACAAGAGGCCCCATTGTCATAGGAGTGAGGGGGAGCCCTCAGACTCAAAGGAGGGAAGGATGTGATAACTGCTACAAGACCCACTAATTAATCTCCCTGTGGAACTCATTGTTTATAAGTTCCCTTGGTCACAGGCAATGGCCTGCTCAGTTAGCACCCATCACCTGAGCCCTTTCTAAAGGAGACCCAGGGATAGGTCTGCAGAATTGTCAGCCCTGTGCTGGGACAAGCCTATGTACACCATGAGTATTTGGGTTTTCAATAATAAATTATGTTCCTTTCCAGTCAGGTTTCCTGATTTATTACACAAGTTAGTGTAGTCAGGATCAGTTGTGTTCTAACACAAATATTCAGGATTATTTAGAAAACCAGGGGAAACAAACATAGGACAAGAGGGTGGAAGATAAAGACAGTGAGCTACAAATACTGGAATGCTACATCATATGCAGCAAAGTGGAGGAAAAGTTCTGGAAGTTCAGCAGGTCTGGCAGCATGTGTGAATAACTCGACATTAAGTCTAGAGGGCTGCAGGGTCCCCAAAGGGAAAATGAGGTGAATTCTTTCAGCTTGCGCTGAGCTTCACTGGAACGCTGTAGCAAGCCAGAGACAGAGATGTTGGCCAGGGAACAGGGTGGTGTGTTAAAGTGGCAGGCACAGGTAGCTCAGGGTCTTTGTTGCGAGCAGAACGTAAATGTTCTGCAAAGCGGTCACCTAGTCTATGCTTTGTATCCCCAGTGTAGAGGAGACCATATTCACATGGAAAGTATGTTTGGGCCCCTGGATACTGGGGAGGGAGGAGGTATGTGGGCAGGTGTTACACCTTCGCTGGTTGCAGGGGAAGGTGCCGTGGGGCTGTGGGGGGCTGTTGGGGGTGAAGGAAGAGTGGACCAGGGTATCCCGGAGGGAACGGTCCCTGCGGAAGGTGGACAAGGGAGGGGAGGGGAATATGTGTCTGGTGGTCGCATCTCGCTGGAAGTGGCAGAAATGGCGTCTGATGATCTTCTAGATGTGGATGCTGGTGGGACGGTAGGTAAGGACAAGGGGAACCTTTTCGCTGTTGTGGGAGGGAAGAGAAGGGGTGAGGGCAGAAGTGCTGGAGATGGGTCGGACCTGGTTGAGGGCCCTGTCGACAATGGTCCCCAGCACCTGTTCCCTGCCACTTTAACACACCACCCTGTTCCCTGGCCAACATCTCTGTCTCAGGCTTGCTGCAGCGTTCCAGTGAAGCTCAATGCAGGCTGGACAAACAACAGCTCATTTT